TTGCACTTGTCAGGAAAAACGAAAACTAATGCAAGAATAAAATTAACAGAAGTAATAATCATAACTTTGTAACCTTAAAATAAACTTCAAGATCGAACAGGCTGGCTCCACTTTCTTTCTACAGATTAGGGTCATTGGCTTGTGTCCTGGTCTGTGTGGGAGAGGCGGGGGGAGGGGGGAAAAGGGGTGGTGGTGTTCAATTGACAAAGAAAGTACTGTTACATCCTGTTTGTCCATATAGAAACCGGAACTGCGTGTTCCGGGTCATTAGATTTGGGCGCAGGTGTGCGGTTTTGGTTCTGTGGAGAATCTGTTCTTACTCTTGGCTGCTGCCATAGCTGTTGCTTCAGCTGATACTTCCGTTGTTGTTGCTGCTCCTGCTACTTCTGCTATTTATGTTGCTAGTTCTGCTGCTGCTCGGACTGCTACTGTTGCTTCTTCTTCTCGTTCTTCTGCTGCTGCTTCTTCTTCTTCTTCTGTTACTCTCCTCTACTTTCTCCTACTACTCCTTCGTCTTCCCTCCCGCCTCCTCCTTTTTTGTTTTTGTTTTGTAGGGAGCGAAGTCCTTATTATTCTCTTCCTGCTGCGGCTCCTGCTTCTTCTCCCCCTCATCCTCTATTATCGTCGTATACCTTTAGATGCCATCCTGAGTATATTTAAAGGAAGCAGCAGTCAACTTGAACTTAATGACCTCTATAGATTTTGTCACCAAAAGTTGCTAGCGTCGACTAGCGTACTCTTCTATGGACTTTATACGCTAAATACCCCTCAGCAGGCTTGTTACCATCATTTCACCAGTTTCAAAGCTGCATTCGTCTTCACTGATACTGTTTGCTTTTCCTTATTTTCTCAAACCTTTGCCCTACTACATCCGACTTAGCCAGCATTTTTCCCAGCTATTAAAGATACACTCTGTTGATTCAAATGCCTCACAATTAGTGAAACAATTTTTATGAAACCTTTCGGTTGGAATATCGTAAATCCACAGCTCTATGCGTGGCGGTTATGGAGCTCTGGTTGTATCTTAAATGTAATTTTTTTCATGCATGATGTAACACGAATAGTCTGAAGGTGTTCGTCTATTTTTCGGCTCTGCTTCGTGTATGCTTAAAAGTGCTAGAACTTTGTGTGTGTGTGTAATTTTTGGGGTCATTTTTGAGAATTAACAGAGCATATATTGTGCATTTATTGTATATATATATATATATATATATATATATATATATATATATATATATATATATATATATATATATATATATACACACATACACACATTCTTTTTCAAATATGGTGTTTGTGGCAATATGTATATTTTGGTTGTAATATCAGCAGACAAAATATTTATTACAAGTATCATATAGATGCATTCAGGGCACTATTCGGGGAAAAAGGGTAGGGGGAATATGTCACCCCCACCCACCCCCCATTTTTTCAGTAATAAGGTTAGTTGCGTATCTTTTACAGGACGTTGCAGAAATAACCGCAGCAGCCACTGGCTGTTGTGTGGTTTCTCTAGGCAAATGTACGTCCAGTAGTTTGCCATTGCTTTCTTTTGTCAGTAAGCGTGTCATAAAAGATGACTAATTTGTAGCTCCTGAAGAAGTTTCTCCTTAAAGTTAAAATCAGCGAGGATATAAACTATATTGGTATAATAAATCCACCATTTTAACGGCATAATCTTAGTAAGATTATCTAAATATTTATAGTACAGCTATTGAAAAAAAAAATCCACCTTTTTAATGACACACTGTTAGTAAGATTATGTAAATATTTGTTAGTTATTCATAGTACAGCTTAAAAATAAATCCGCCATTTTAATGACAGTTAATTAATTTGCAGAATTGCCGTCCCCAGATGGGATGCAATTTTTTGTTATTCGAGGCCACATCCTGGATTTTGCCAGGGGCCCGTAAATATAGCAGGGCCATAAATATAGCCCAACGGCTGAACAGGGTTTCTGTGACCTCTCCACGGGTGATCCTCATCCGCATGGTGGGACTTTGTGTCACTGGGTGTTTAACGCTTTGTTTGATGTTCTGGTGGGGTACAACGTACATACATACAGTACAATTTATATCATAATTAAAACCAAAATAAAAGCAATATTTGAAACAGTACAAATGACATATCTGTATTATATAAACAATAACCCAACACATAAAATAACAAATATAAACTCTGAGCTTCCAGTGAGAGTTGAGAGATAGCAGGAATAGATACACTGTCTCCCCAACAAGCATGTCGTAAGAGTCGACTAATTTGGAGCTTCTTTCGAAGTTGGAGTGCATCTGCCTGGAAGGCAAGGAACCAACAATCTGCATATAAATAAGTCAGATCTGTTTAACTGATGTGCACGCAAGACTGGGGTCTGGAACAAGACTAAAGTTCGGAGGTGGACTATTAACCAGAACTTTCCACCCGAGTTAAAGCATGTGAACGCCAAAAAAAAAAAAAGATACTCTGAGAATTCGATGAACACTTTATAACCCAACTTATTATGTATTGATAAAGTAACAGACAGTGTAATAATGGGCACTCATAGAAAGAAGTAGACGGATAGAAGAGCACACTAGACAACATGAAAATCGAAAACTATAGTTACCATGCCGAAAATCGAACCTGTCTCCTCCAGACGGAGTGTGCGCTTCGCTATGGAAACAAATGTACTAAAATCATGGTCAACAAGGCACCCCTTCCATAGCGAGGCGCTCACGCCGTCTGGAGGTGACAGGTTCGATTCCCGAGACTGTAACTATAGCTTTTAATTTTTATGTTGTCTAGTGTGTTCTTCGATGTTTCTACTTTCTATGAGTGTCGATCAATACATTGTCTGTTACTTTATTAATACATAATATTGAACGGCCTCAAGGGTTCCCCCCTCTGTTTATTTGTGTATTACCCAATTTAAAACGCCTTGGGTCATCTACGGCACCTAGGTCCATTTCTAGTGGTCTGGACATTATCCTGCTATTGGATCAAGGTGGACACAGGCGAGAGAGTGATGTCGACGGTTTGCGCAACTCTTCCTCACTTAAATCCAAGTCCTTGTGCACGTCATTTTCATCCGTACTTTGGATAAAAAGTGGCCTTAATCTCTCGTGTTGGACGAAAAACAAAAACGACATCCCAAGTCAAATAACCCTATCAGGAAAAGAAATAAAACCGAACGAAAAGTATATAAGCAAGCTTCACAATATAACAAATACAAACAAAACATGAACGTTGCAACCCTGAGCGTTGAACATATTTGGGAAAAAGTGACAATACTACTGCTGGAACGTGGTGCATTCATTACACACTCGATCAGGGTCAACTCGCCTTTGTATCAAAAGTCCTGATAATAATCAAATAATTACAATAAACGATAAGCTTTCGGCCAGTAATTAAACTCGGCCCAATAAGTCGTGGCGACGAATTGTTGTCACCCAGTGTCAACATTTGATGTGGGTTAGGTGCAGTAATTAGCTGGTTGTCATTAACTTCGTCAGATCAAACAAGGCCGTGTATGGTGCTCTGTCAGCGCTATGTTATGAGGATCGGAATTACTAATAATGTAAACAGTAAGTAATTAGATTTAGTATTCAGTTTGGTTTATTCTGTCAATTGATTGACGTCCCCACCAGGACATCACACCGAGCGATAAACACCCAGTGACACCATTCGTATAAGGATTACCTGGGGACAGGTGACAGAAACCTCGTTCAGCCGGTAGGAGTTATATTTGGGCCCCGACAACAGCTTTAGCGTGGCTTTAAAATAACAATTTTTCGTCCGATATTGAGGCGTTATTGATAATTGTATTCTGTCAGTTACTAAGTTAGTCGACATATTGTCCTTATTGTGCTCTGTGTTGGTTTATTCTTCTTCTTTGGCTACCCGTGTAGTGTTCTTGTTTGGCCACACCCCGTTTAACATGTTGTTCTTGCAGTCTGACCATGGTTGCAGATTCACAGTTCTCAGTTGGTTCACGCAAAAGTCTTAACTCTCTTAGAGTATTCAGTGTTTCAGCCTAGGTCCGTGGCTTGTCTGGCTTTCACAGTAGCCTAACCTGCAAGTTAACAGCTGGCTCATTTCCTTGTACTCCCACATCAATTACTAAACCAGGACTGTATTACTTGGATGAGTTTACCAAGTGTAGCATTTAATTTTGTGCTGATCTCTGGTAATTGTTGATCATCACTGGTGTACCGTGTTTGGGATGTTCAAGAGATTTAATTGTTCTCTGTTCCTCCTCTTCTTCAAAGCTCTACTACTGGAATGCCTCGCAGTGTCAGGGCATGAAGAGATCTCTGGAACGAGCCCTTCTGTTCGCGTCATGTATAGTACTTTTCAGTGTCTCCAAAATTTCCGCGGTCCACCTTCTGCGTGGTCCACCTCTAGCTCTGTTACCGCTGTATATGTATAGCATTGCTCTCTGTGGTGACTGTCTAGTGCCAATCTTGTTACGCCTGTGGATCAAAAGGTCCTGAGTTCGAGTCCTGTCAGAGCCCCACATTTTGTGTGTGTGTAGATATGACTTTGACTCCAGGTCGACCCAGCCTTGAGTGGGAACCAAACGTAGTCATGGAAAGTGAAGGCAGTTGGCGTAATGTTGACTACATCACCTGCGAGGTGTCGATTGATCTATAAAACATAGGCTTAGCCTTATATGCCCAATGCACCTGAAATAATGGAAAAGAGTCCTTTATGCTTTTACTACACATGAAATGACAACTTTATAACAACTGATTTTTCAAATAAATAATAATATACTGTATTTCTGCTTGTGTTACAGATTGAAAAAACAACTTTATAACAACTGATGTTTTAAATAATTAATAATATACTGTATTTATGCTTGTGTTACAGATTAAATGACAACTTAAGAACAACTGATGTTTCAAATAAATAATAATGTGCTGTATTTCTGCTTGTGTTACAGATTGAATAACAACTTTATAAAGGTTCCTATTCTTTGACTGTGTTGTGAATTCAGGCAACAAAGTGAATAATCCAACATGGCTGCCAATGGACAAGTAGCTGTAACAAACAAGGGGTTGTTGGAGAAATACCTCCGGCTGGAGCAGCCGAAAGATAAGGTCAGTGTCTTCAGTGAAGGCTGTCTTATGAGTTAAGACACAAAATCACAGCATTCAGGACATTCCCATAAACACTCCGTCCCCATCTTCAGTCATAATGACCAGTGACACATATCATGAATTTCAAGTTACTTTAAGATACTTTGGCTCCCCCTGTGGATTCTAGGGTCCCAGTTTTAAAAAAAAATGGGGGGTGGGGGGGGGGGGGGGGCAATATCCCCCAAGCATTCTGTAAAAAGCAATAATTGGGGAGAGAAGGAGGGGGGTGGGGGGGGCTTTCAAAAGTGGCCTGCATACAGACATCCATGCAAAACTAAAAGTCCAGAAGTGGATGAACAACCAGAAATGTTCACCAGAGTTTAAAGCCAATGAACACTGAGAAGATGGATATTGTAATACAAAACAAACTTGTATACATGACCTGATAGACATCAACATTTACGTAGACACTATGGAGGGAAGAAGAAACACCAGATCATGATGGGACAGTACGTGTTGGAGCAAGTTAACCAGTTCAAATACCTTGGAGTTGTATTAGACCAAAATGGAGGCATATAGACGGAGCTGGCTACACGAAAAGCAGCTGCTGGGAGACTCTTCCAGGCCATAAACCGAGGGTTTCTTAGCAAAAGAGAAATTGGCAAGAGGATGAAAATGGCTGTTTACCGCTCTACCTATGTACCAGTCGACCTATGGGTGTGAGTCATGGGCAATGACAACAGCTCACAGAAGCCAGCTGCAGGCCTCGGAAATGAGATACCTGAGAAAGGTGGTCCAAGTGACAAGAAGGGACAAAGTCCGCAATCAGACAATACGTCAAGATCTTGATACCCAGCCCTTACTAACTAGAGTGGATCAGTCACAGTTACGATGGTTTGGACATGTGTGCAGAATGGGAGAAAATCGGCCACCATGGCAAGCATCGGAGGCTAAGAACCAGGGAACCAGACCTCCAGGACGACCCAGGGAGCGCTGGGAAGACAACATCCGACAGTCCCTGACTGACAGAGGACTGGAATGGAACAAAGCCAGAAAGAAAACTACTGATAGAGACGTTTGGCGATCTCTCTGGCAAACCTCTACACCCCAAGATAGAAGAGGAGCGACTAAGTAAGTAAGTACTATGGAGGGAACAGCTGCTATAGAGTCAAACAGTGAAAGACACTTTACAAGAGGCATGACGCAGCAGGCTATTGAGAGGAGAAGTCTGAGACAATACCAGCCTCAGTATAATAGACTATCCATGTTTCTAATCCCTGTATGGGTTCTGGGTCCCCATTGTGAGGAAAACAAAAACAGACCCACTGTCTGCCCAACAAGCATGTCGTAGAAGTTAACTAATTGGGAGCTTCCTTCAAAGTCGGAGTACATCTGCCTGAGTGGCAAAGAACAACTATTGCACGCAAATAAGCTAGTCAGTTGGATGTACAGGCAAAAGTCAAGCCCTATTTCTCACATTTTGAGTGAGTCGGAGTGCATCTGCCTGAGAGGCAAGGAACCAGCAGTCTGCATACAAATGAGTCAGATCTGTAAAATGGATGTACACGCAACACTCAGGTTCTGGAACAAGACTGCAGTCCAGAAGTGGATGAACAACTAGAACTTTCCGCCCGAGTTTACAGCCGGTGAACGCGAAGAAGAAGAAGGAATAGTTCTCTTCCTAAAGAAGACATTGCATTTTTTTGGGTGTGGATTTTTAATTCCTTCTACTCACACAGGTACCAGTTAATTTTTAGTTCTTGTTATTTTTCTTCTCTGCCTCCTCCTTCTCCATCTATTTTTCCTTCTTCTGCTTCTTCTCATCCGCCTCCTGATTTTCTCCTCCTCTTCCTCTTCTCCTTCTACTGAACAAGATGTAACACTGTGGGATTGTGGTGCAGAAACTCCATTTCTAAGTTTATGCATTTACTTTGCCCAGCAGTGATGTGAGCGTGTCTCTTTGTGTGCATGAATGTGTGGTATGAATGTGTGGGTGTGTGTGCATGTGTGTGTGGGTGTGTGTGTGTGAGAGAAAGAGAGAGCAAGGGAGCACATGAGTAATAGATTCACTAGAATAAGACCTACTGAGAGGACAGAATAATGACCACTAATGATGTCCACCAATGTGTTCAGGTGATGGCCGAGTATATCTGGATTGATGGTACTGGAGAAGGGATCAGAAGCAAGTGCAGGACTCTGGATTCTGAACCCAAGGATGTTAGTGGTAAGTTCCCTTTGGCTACTATCTAGTTCTAATAACAATACTATTTGATATATTATTAGCAATGTCACAGATATGACTGGAAAGTAAGACACTATTATATAACAGGTGGGCATATGGACAGAGTTGGTATAATCTACTCTGTATGGACTACACCATGTCTATTTATCTGGCAGCCCACTATCCCATGGAGGCCTAGTTTGGGGGACATTCGGGCATAATGACTTATAGCCGGTTAACCACTGACACTCTGAAAAGTTAATTTCCCGCTAGGTTTTGTTGATGCAAATTCCCCATTTCTGGAGTGGGAGTCCAAAGGTTCCATCGCCAAGCTACTGAGTTCAGTGCTTGGTGCAACACTGTGAAATCATGTGGAACGTTTTATTCTGTTGTGCCAGTGGCATATTGCTTACAGCACTAAACTGGTGGGTGGTCAATTACATCTGTGGGTGCCATGCCGGATTTTGTGTTTGACCATTTGTGCCAACAGTGAGCTGCAGTTCTAGTGCAGGGCCATTAGAGTAGGCACATCTGACAGCTTACCTTATGCACTTTTACTTTGCCTGTGCAAGCTTCAAGATTTTGCTGGGACTGACACATTTTTCTCTAGTTAACAAATGGACATGAAAGACATTTTGTCTGATTCTACTGGCACATGAAAGTAGTTATGGCACATCTGTCAGCTACCTTATGCACATTTGCTTTGCCTGTGCAAGCTTCAAGATTTTGCTGGGACTGACACTTTTTCACTAATTGTCAAATGGACATGAAAGACATTTTGTGTGATTTCACTGGCATATGAAAGGAGCAGTCATGGGACGACGCTTCTGCTGTGATATTGGAACCTCGACAAATTTTTTTTTTTTTTTTTTTAAACAAGGGCAAACAGTTAAAACCAAACAATGACTTTTGTATGTGTTAACTTTGTCTTCCCAGAGTATCCTATTTGGAATTTTGATGGCTCCAGTACTTACCAGGCAGAGGGTTCGAACTCGGATATGTACCTCCACCCCTGCGCCATCTTTAGAGATCCCTTCAGAGGAGGAAATAATAAACTAGTTTTGTGCGAGGTTTATAAATACAACAAGAAGCCTGCAGGTGAGGGTTACAGTTTGCTTTCTCCATTGATTATATCGCATGTGTGGGGCGTAGACATGCCTCATTACCGCCACATTCATCACCATTCTAACCATTACTAGCATCAGCTTCAACATCACTGCCGTCATCATCTTGATCATCGCCACCACCTTCACGACTATTATTACTGCCATCAGCTTCAACATTATTACAACTATCTTCTTTTTCTCCTCCTTTTCCTCATTCTTCTTCTTCTTTTTCTTCTTCTTCTTCTTCTTCTTCTTCTTCTTCTTCTTCTTCTTCTTCTTCTTCTTCTTCTTCTTCTTCTTCTTCTTCTTCTTCTTCTTCTTCTTCTCCTTCTTCTTCTTCTTCTCCTCCACCACCACCTCCTCCTCCTCCTCCAACCTTTTCTTCCTGAGTGGTTCTTGGGCTCCATTTTAAAGAGAACAAAAAATAGACCCACTTTCTCCCTAACAAGCAACAAGCATGTCTTAGGAGGTGACTAGTGGGTGGTGGGGGGGGGGTGTATCCTTTAAAGCAGAGTGCATCTGTCTTGAAAGGCAAGAAATCAACAGTCTGCACACAATTGAGCCAGAGCTGTAAACCAGAAGTACATGCAAAACTCAAGCTTTTTTTTTCTACAGCCCGTGAATGTAAAAACAGAAGGAAAAGGGCACCTTAAGTTTTTGAAGTTGCTCTCTTATGTAGGTGCAAGGTAGTTACTTACAAAGTATATTAATTCTGTAAAGAACAGAAAGTATGTGTTGTTATTACAAATTTATTATCTTTATCAACATCCTAGCACAATGGTCCAACCCATATGTGCTCCATCCTCCCATGTAGCAGCCATCTCAATGTCGTCTCCATGCTCAACGTATCCAGTAGGCGTTGACTGGCATGTCTTCCCTTTTCTTTGCCCTGCAACCTGTTTCTGCAAAGCTGTCCTCGTTTAGTAGCCATTTTCAACAGGCAGTTCATTGTCTCTGACATATACTCTTTATATGTTGTTATTGTGCCAGCAGAGACTACTTATTATTTAGTCCCTCCTCTTCTACCTTAGGGGTCTGGTTCCCTGGTTCTTAGCCTCCTATGCCCCGCCATGGTGGCCGATTTTCTCCCATTCGGCATACATCTCCAAACCATCGTAACTGGGACTGATCCAGTCAATTTTGTAAGTAAAAGTAAAAAAGTAAAGGACCCTTTTCCCTGCTTTCAGTCGTGTTGGGTACATAGAGCTAAACCTATATTTTTATAGACCAAATGGCTCTTGGTGGATGATGTAGTCAGCATCACGCCGGCCACCTTTACTTCCCAGGACTGTACCTGGTACCCACTCAAGGCTGGGTTGACCTGAGAGCCAAGATCATTTTAAGTTTGTACGGCCTGGGTTTAAAGATTTTGACATATTGTGTGATTGGCCAACAGAGACTAACAGGCGTAAAACATGTAACGAGATCATGGAGAAAGCCAAAGATGCCAAGCCATGGTTCGGAATTGAGCAGGAGTACACTCTTCTGGACTACGATGGTCATCCTTTTGGTTGGCCCAAGAATGGTTTCCCAGGACCCCAAGGTAAGCCTGTGTGCAGTTATGTATTTGTGTATGTCTTCTTATGAGGACTTACTGGCTGAATGATTAGAATGCCGGGCTGTCAAGCTGGAGACCTGGGTTCAAATCCTTTGTAAGGTTCCTTTCTGTAGCTGTGCATAAAGCACAAGCGTATAACTACGCATTTTTTTCTTCAGTTAAACATTTTGATTGCAGGCTAGAAAAGACGAAAATGGAGGGTGCAGTTTGTGGAAGGTGAGGCAGGGGTAGACCTCTACAGCTAACTGGTTCAAGAGTTTACCATATAGACAAACTTGCATTGTTAGATGAGCTTGGCAGTATGTGTAGGCTGGCTTGGTTGTGTGTATAGGCTGGCTTGGTTGTGTGTATAGGCTGGCTTGGTTGTGTGTATAGGCTGGCTTGGTTGTTTGTATAGGCTGGCTTGGTTGTGTGTATAGGCTGGCTTGGTTGTGTCTGTAGTCATACTTGTTTGTATGAATAGATTGAAAAGGTTGTGTGTATAGATTGGTTTGGTTGTATCATCCTCTTCGCGTTCTCTGGCTGTTAACTCCAGAATTCCTGGTTGTTGGCCCAGTTCTGGATTTTATTCCAGTTCCAGGTGAGTGCTACAGCCATATTGGTTTTACGGATCTGGCTCATTTGTGTGCATACTCGTGATTCCTTGCCTCTTTGGCAGAAAAGACTCTGGCTTCGGGAGACAAGCCAATCCTATCTATGCTGGCCAGGCTCCTGGTTGGGGACCTGTTTCTAGGATGACTGTGGAGATGTGTAGGCAGGTATTGACCAATATAAGCTCTGTTCCTGGTGCACAGCCATGTGTGGTTTAGTACTACTGTATCCCAGCCTTATTGTATTATAGACAGGTTTGGATGTGCCTTTTTTTCCTTGGTATTTATTTGAGTAACAAGAGAGACTGTCAGGACAACCAATGTAAGCAACCACGGTGACCAGTGTGAGAATCCACAATAAACATTTGTGTGTGAATTCTAAGCGTCTTCATGATGTGTCGTTGATACTAACATTAGCAGCTGGGATAACAATGTAGCTAGACAAGATGATTCATTACAGTTACAGTGTAGGTGTGAATATGTGTATGTTGTATATAGCTCTTTTTTGGACAGCCAAAAAGAGCAACCAAGAGGTTTTGAAAGAGGCGGGAGCCCGAAGACAACTTATCACATACATCAGAAGGAGACAGTCATCATTTTTTGGCCATGTTATGAGAAGAGGGAAAATAGAACATGTTGTGACCAATGGAAAGATCTGTGGAAGGAGGGATAGAGGAAGACGAGAGAAGATGCTTGACAGTCTCGTCACATGGCATGGAGGTGTGTCGGCACACGAACTGAAACATGCTGCAGGAGATCACAGATTATGGAGGGGCATGATCGCCCACATCAGTGGGCAAGGAACCTGATAATGATGTATATAGCAACATCAAAAAAGAAGCGGCTGGCCCAGTGGTTACAACTTCAGGTTGTCATGCGAGTGACCTGAGTTTGACCACTGGTAAGGTGACATGTTTTTCTGTTGAGGAAAAAAAATTCAGCATCCTAACCTTCACTGGCCATGGTGACAGCACTAGCCGTGTGGCGCTACATCATCAGACTCACGACCCCACTACTTGCACTGCCCTAAAAAGCCGTAAAAACAGACAGTAGTGGCAGTAAATAGCAAAGAAGAGGAGAGAGACATCTTGCAAGCTGCCATCACTGCTTGAAGCAATTGACCCTCACCATTTACATTTGCAAGAATCAAGTGATGACTGTGAATCTGCAACCATGATCAAACTGCAAGAACAACATGTTAAAAGAGGTGTGGCCAGACAAGAGCACTGTGCAGGAAGCCAAAGAAGAATAAGAAGCCAACACAGAACTGGTGTCATGAGCCACTACACGCTGCGGGATGGATTTATTAAGGCGGGGATCCGGGCACTTATGGACTGAATGGTTTGCTGTGCAATGAGGATAATCTGTTGACTAACTAACTAATTATTTGCTACCCACTCCTCCACATGTAGACTTCTGCATCTTTTAATTTCATATCATAAATGCCACAGATGCATTATCCAGTTAGATTAACTGTTACATTTTCATACTATCATTATTTTGCCCTTTTTCTATCTTATTTTCCCTGTGTGATATTCAAGTTCTGTTTTTATTCATTTTTATTAATTATAAATGCAGGAGATAAGTGGGTCACCTTTGTTCTTTCATTTGAGTTAGTTGCTGTTTATTGGCCACACCTGCTGTATGCGACAGGTGTTGTTGTGTTGGCATACACTGAAGTCTGTTTGTCATGACTTTTGGTTACATTATTACGCTGTATCTTATTTTGTATTTTCCCTCTAACTTTAACATTCTCTTTCTTTCTCTCTTTCTTTCTCTGTGTGTGTCTTTCTCTATCACTCACTCCCTTCTCTCTCCCTCCTCCCTCTCTCTATCCCCTCTGTCTCCCCCTCTCTTTTTCCCTCCCTCCCCCTCTTTTTTTCCTCCCTCCCCCTCTTTTTCCCTCCCTCCTCCTCTTTTTCCCTCCCTCCCCTCTCTTTTTCCCTCCCTGCCCCTCTTTTTTCCCTCCCTCCCTCTCTCTTTTTCCCTCCCCCTCTCTTTTTCCCTCCCTCATCCTCTTTTTCCCTCCCTCATCCTCTTTTTCCCTCCCTTTTTCCCATGCTTTTGTTTTTGACTGGATATTCATAATATGCATATTATTACATGAACATAACATGCTTTATTGATTAAATACAACTGCTGTGTGAAAGATGGGAATTTGGAATGGCAGAATGTAAGACAGGCCTGCGTGCCTAATTTATAACCTTCGTTCATTCCCTCCCCCTCTCTTTTTCCTCCCTCACCCTCTCTTTTTCCCACCTCCCGCTCTTTTTCCCTCCCCCCTTTTTTCCGTTCCTCCCCCTCTCTCATCCCCTCCCTCTCCCTCTCTCTGTCCCAGATAAGAAACTGTAATCGACTGGCTATATGTGTCAATCTGTTTATTATTCTATGCTATGGCTTCAAGGATTCTGGCCTGTTTATTTCTGTGCATTACAGCTTCAATGGTTCTCACCTATTTATTTTTGTGTGTATTACAGCTTCAAGGGTTCTCACCTGTTTATTTCTGTGTAATACAGCTTCAAGAGTTCTCACCTGTTTATGTATGTGTATATTACAGCTTCAAGGGTTCTCACCTGTTTATTTCTGTGTAATACAGCTTCTTTATTTCTGTGTATATTACAGCTTCAAGGGTTCTCACCTGTTTTTGTATGTGTATTACAGCTTCAAGGGTTCTCACCTGTTTATTTATGTGTGTACTACAGCTTCAAGGGTTCTCACCTGTTTATTTCTGTGTATGTTACAGCTTTAAAGGTCCTCGTCTGTTTATTTCTGTGTATATTACAGCTTCAAGGTTTCCTACCTGTTTATTTTTGTGTATTACAGAATTTATAACACACATTAAGAGCAACAATAGGATCATGCCAAATCAATTAACCGTTATAATTTGGAAGCTGTGAAGTTATGCATATAGCAACTGCACATTTACTGGATTTGTTTATAACAATAGTTTTCAACCTGGAGGGGAAGGGGGGAGCATGGGCGAGCATGGGCAGGGAAGTTTTTTTTTGGGGGGGGGGGGGGGGGGGGAATCTAACAATTTTGAAATTGAGTGCATTTTTACTTATAATAAAATGTTATACTAGCGATTTTTTTTTTTTTTTCAGTTTGATTGTAAATTAAAATTTAAAATTGTAAAAACAAGACAGATCTGGAGTGTTCTCCCTTGTGCCTTTTCCAACATCAGGCCAGAATTATCAGATATCATCATCAAGACAAAACAATGTCAGCCATCACAGTGATATTTGAACACTCAGTTACTAGCTGTTAATTTTTGTTTCTTGTGTTTATTTGATACTTTGATTTATGTGGATGGTTTCTCCAAGCTCTTGTTAACAATGCTTGGGATTTTTCTTGTTGTCATCTCCTTCTTTTTTTTTTTTTATTAATCTAATTTTTTTAAGTTGGGAGTGGGTAGGAGCATAAAGGTCCTGCTATATGTAAAGTTGGCACCACCTAACCAAAAAAAGATTGAAAAACACTGGAAACACATTCGATTAGAGAAAAGAATTGCCTGCAAGCTTTCATTACCCTAAATAAAACTGCCACAAATAGATGGAAAATCTGGCATTATTAGAATCAATTCACAACCTCAATTAGTCATGGACTCATCGATAAATTGAGCCGACATTTATGTGTGTGGATCTATATATGTTGATGAATTCTAGTTGATCTGTCTGGCAGTGTGGCTATATGTGTGTCTGCCTTTCAGTTCCTCTCTGAATGAATTATGAAAAGGAGAGGACACATTTTTATTTCTAGCATTTAGAACATAAATTTAGACTTTGCTTTTTCTCTTACTGCAATATGCCTGTGACAGTGGTCTATTGATTTTTACTTTTCCAGGGAATTTACTTTTTATTCGCTAGTATATTGATTTTCCCCGAGAATTTACGTGTTCATATATTGTCTTCTCCATTGATTGACACGACTCCATATTGTAGGCAGATCCACTTATGTTGTGTAGATTAACTGTTCACCACTCATGGTTAGTTTTACCTTTCTCTGTGGCCTAACATGTCATGCCCCACTGTATCGATTGAATTGCAACCACCCCCCCTCCCCCCCCCCTACACACACACCTACACACCCACCCCCAACCAATAGGCTGATCCAGAAAGAGCACTAAAATGATTGCAGTCTTTGTGTTAAACTGGTGATGGTCATTTGACTGGAGAAGATGATGAGGATGATGGGTCAACGATGATGTTAAAGAAGATGCTGAAGAAGATGATAAAGAATATAATAAAGAAGATATTAAAGAAGATAAAGATGATGATAAAGAAGATCAAGAAAGTGATGAAGATATGAGATAAATAAGAAGATAATGGGGAAAGAGGGAGCACAAGACGCTGAAGAAGAAGATTAATAACCATAATAATTAGTAGTAATAGTAAT